AAGCCTTCCTTATACTTCCTTATACTCCGGTAGTATAGAGTAGTATAAGCCTCCCTTATACTTCCTCATACTCCCTAGTCACATGATCTTCTGTAAGGAAGAAATCCTTGGATCGCCTAGCTACCCTAAGCGATCCCCATTTGCTATAAGAAATCTGAATGTGCCTGTCGAGGGTTGCGCCTCTTATTATGACAAGTATCACGTGAACACGTGATTCGTGACACGGCCTAATAGAATATTAGCTTTAGTATAAGAATATACTTTATTTAATAAAAAGTAAGGAAAATAACCCTTATTTATATAACTAGATATTATAATTATTATATATAAAGGTACTTTAATATAGTACTATATTTCTTTAGTTATTAATAGTAATTAAGCCTAATATTACCCTTTCTATATCTATTTCCTCGGGCAGGGTAATTTAGTAGTATTCTTATAAGCTTAAAATATATTATAGACCTTTCTAAGAGTAGGATATATAGAGGGTAAGCCCCTGGTTATATAGTATCTATTCGCGTATTTTTTAGTACAATAGAAATAGAATAATATAGGTTTGTAGATACTATGAAAGTTGGTGTTCCCTACGCCTGTATTAGGAGGTCCTGGCCGCAGTTTAGGGGATAGTTCCCTTTTCCTTCTCTTTTTTATTTACTAATTTCCAACTGCCGTTGGCGCCCCAGCTTCCCGACACCCTGGCTCCCCACTATTTGATAATATAATTAGTTTCCTCTTATTAACGATAAAAGGGTTAGGGAAATATATAAAGTCTTACCACGTCAGGCGGAATCTTCTTTCCACTACTCACGCACTTTGTAATGCGATTAGGATCAAGGATAGCTGGCTGAAGCTTGCAATCGTCACAGCCATAAAGCGCTACATTTTGTTCAAGGCCAAGGCATGTTAAATCCGTTGCTATACTATCGTCGACCCCCTAATAAGAAATTAACAACGTTGTCTCAATAGGAGGAAAGAGAAAGACCTACACTTGGCCCTTTGCAATATGCCCACGAATAACCGTTACTAGCACTAACACTAGTCGGCTACGGTAGCGATAATAAGGATATGTTGGAATTGCATTTCAGAAGAAGAACCGGACAATATCTTTTTCTTCGTAGAGTAACAAAGTGTATCTTGAATAGAATAGAGAATAGTAGTCTTTCAAGTATTTGGGGAATCGTGTGAGAAGGAGTATGGTGTCGATTGGAGGACACTGTTTTATATAAACTAATAGTTAGTACGTCTTTCGCACCGAAACATTCGTTCCGTCGGTCCGAATCCTCGTACTTCATTACGAGTACAGAGGAAATAAATTAACGTTTCCTAGGGTAGCTAGGGTTAATACTTCGTTCCAGGCGAAATATCTAATTTACTTCGCCCTAGGCAAAATAATTGTAGAGTTTTCAGGGATTTTTACCCTGTTCACTAACCAGGCGAAATAAGTGTAGGTTTGCTAGGGTGGCTAAAGTTAGTAACAGGGTTACTTGTAGAACCCTACGAAACTTACTTCCCATTTATCGCGATACCGCTATAGAACAGGAATTAATATTATATAGAGTCGAGGCGTTAAGAGCTAGGAACAAGAGACTTAGGAACAAGGTGCAAAATGAGAAGATATATATGAAAGAAATTTTATTGTAAATATAAAGAAATAGAGAGAGTAAAGCCAAAGTACGAAAACAAAACGTAGAACTAAAGTCATGTTTTTTTTTCTTTTTTGTTTTGTATACTGTAAGAAAGAAAGCGAGTAAGAGAAAAAACAAAGCGATTGTACTTAGAAAACAAAGAAAAGAAAATCAATTTCTTTTTCTTTGTTTCTTTTTCTTACCTGCTAAAAGCAACCAGTGCCTTTTTGCCTTGAAATCAATCTACTAGGTATCTTAAGCAACTGGATTGTGGGTACGTTTAGCGGTGGAACCAGAATTGGCATTAGTGCTAGTACCGCTTGGTCGACTAACACTGCCAGGTCTTACGGTAAAACCCGAACTGGTATTACTGCTAGTACCGCTTGGCCTTTGGGTATGACTTTGGCTTTGTCTTGCAGTGCTAGACATACTACCCGTTCGACTAACACTGTTAGATCTACTACTCGTTCCACTGCCTCCATGGCCAGCCACCACGGTACCAGCGCTACACATGAGAACTTAGTTCTCTCCATCTCTCGTAACATACGTGGTCTTGAAATCCGGTGGTGTCTGGAGTTTAAAGAACTCGGGAATGACATGGGCTTCAAAGACCGAACTTCCTGGAACGGCTTGAGTAATCAAGTAGCAACTCTTTGGCGGAAGATCAGGTAGTGCATCACACATTTCCTCAGATCCATCTCCATCAGCCATGTGGTAGGCGACGTCAACGTCTGAGAAGTTAGTCTCCCCTCTATGCCTCAGTCTTAAAGCTGCAGAGGGTTTGGTTTGTAATCTGCTGACGGTGAAGTTTCGTTGAGAAGTGTTGCGCCGAGAAGGCATACCATGAGTACGGCTACGTGAAAAAGTTTGCATGGGTTGCTTTTCAATGCTTGACTCATTCTGATTACTGATTATTGATGATAAAGTGTAATTGATAAGTGTGTATGGTGATAGTAAAGATAGGTGTGTAAGAGAGAGTTGTTGATAGGATGATTCTGTTTTCTAGAGCGTGATTCTCGAGAAAGATATAGCCATTTGAAACTTCTGTTTACAAAGAATAATATAGCCAAACGACCAGTTTAATGTCTGTTTACAAAGAACAATGCAGCAAAACTACCTATAATACCATGTTAATATCTGTTGTTCTCTGTTACAAAGAATAATGTAGCACTATAACTATTGTCTCGACTCGAACAATGTTTCTGCAGCCAAGAGAGTTGAGCTGATGAAAGATTAAGGCGTTGGAATGTACATAGTCTTTAGAGAATATAGTACTCAGGTAGTAAAGTCTACTTACTGTAAGGAAATGTAATAAGATTAATTAAGACCATTATCATTTATCTTTTTGGGTTATAACAGATATAACAGAATAAGACCCAATCTAATTTTCCAGAGTCGCGACTAGACCATTTAATACATAAGAATTACCTGGTAAAACTTGAAATTCTATAGGAGCATCAGAGGTAAATCCCATACTTAGATCTCTTATCTGACGGTGTTTGGGGTTAGTGCTTACATCTTTAGCCGCTCAAAGAGGAAGGTGGGGTGGTGTTTGGTGGGGTTACTCGAGTAAGACTTACAGTACAATACGAAGTGAGGCGGAGAGAGCGATTTCATGTACGGATGACTCAGATTCAGTCATTCTCCTCATGGTTTTAGAAGCTTGGTTTTTATCTAGATATAGAATGAACATGCTTCATATTTTCTGTCGGAGATCTTTCTTTGCTTTGACTGGAGCTTACTTTTCGCACCTGACAACTTACATACAGTCTCTTGTCTAGCAAGATATAACTTCAGATTAGAACCTCATCCTTCATACTTACTGAAGTTAATCACTCCACACATCTTCTCCACGCATCCACTCCCCTTAGAAAACTCTCAAAAATGACGTCCCCAACCCCCCACAAACCCAGTCCCCGCATCTCCCTCAAACAACTAACAAACGACCACCATCTCCAGTCCTATCACAAGCTACTAACCCATCCCTCGGCAGCGCAATGGAGCATCAGTCAAAAGCCTACAAGCCTGGAAGAAAGCAGGACGAGTCTCATGGCCAAGATGCCAACAGGGGAGGAACCATGGAGGGGCATCTGGGGGATATTCTTAACAGGGGGTGCTGGGGAAAGTGAGAAGTTTATTGGTTCGATGGGGTTTCCTTTCGAGGCTGTGCTTGGTTATCGATTGATGCCGGAATATTGGGGAAAGGGGTATATGACTGAAGCCCTGAAACTGTTTTTGGTGATGTGGTTTGGGATTGAGGGTTTGTTATTTTCTTATCTCTTCCTCTTCTTTTCTCTTCTCCCCCTTCAGAACCTCCACACCTCATTCCTCTCTCGTTCTAAGCCTCTCCCTAATGAAATAAGCAGGGAATCAAAAGTACGATAAACTCTCCGCCGGTATCAGCCCAGAGAACATCGCTAGTCAAAGGGTTCTCGAGAAAGCGGGGTTTGTAAAGGGTGCGTATGTTAAGGATGCTGTGCAGATGGCTACGGAGGAGGGGAGGTGGAGTGATATCCAGGCTTTTGAGTTTTATCGAGGTTTGTTGGATAAGGGGGATGAGTAAGTGGGCTTGTAGAGAGGGGGGAGGAAGAGCAGATTGGGATAAATTCGAGGGATTGTTGTGCATAAAATGTGGTTTGGTGAGATGGTCTTTTTTAGCCGTATTTCTCATGAGTCTGACGAGCTCAGGGTTGTGATATTGCGGGTATTGTTGTGGCCTGGTATACGATTGGCGGTTCAGATTTGCTGGGGCAGAAGATCTTTCTATCGGCTATTTCCAACAAAGCTACACAACCCAGAGTGTTAATGAACAAAAAGGCGAATCCTTTCTCCTATTCTATTGTAGAACCAGACCATGATCACAGAACGCTAAACTTGATATCAAATCATCTATCATCTCACTAGAAAATCACTCTCGAGATCTGTTAATCAAACGAAGTAAAATAAAACCCTCAACCCTGCGATAACAGTAAGTCCCTATAAATCTATATCAAACAAGACAAACCTGGAAGCGAGCAATTTATAAGAGAAAGTATTCGATTCAGTTGCCGAACATATTATGTACCTCACTACTATACCTGTCTAACATGCAAAAACGAATTCCAGTTCTAGAGATCAAGCTTCTAATTTGTCCGGACCGCTTTTCTCGTGCGGAAGCAAGAGTTCGCGAAATATAAGCGATAACTAGGGTAATATATCAACAGGATTCAAAGCGAATAGGAGTAAGAGACTACCAGTCTACTCTATACACCTCTCTTACAATAAAATTATTCTAAAAGCGTCGTGTAACTAAAACAGCTATATAAAGAGCTTAGAATAATTATAACTGTATACTTTTTTTAGCCGAGGTGTACTAATATAATTATCTCACTTAACGTGCATGTATAGCGAACCGGCCAAACAAGCGAACCGGCCAAAATTTTCTACACTCGCGATTGAAATTGTAAGAACTCTACCACAACGCCTCTAATTAAAAAACACTATTCAGAAATTTCTTCCTCAGATACTTCCTCTATAATATTACAGGTGCGCGTATTATGACCAGTCTCTCCGCAGTTGCCACAGCGCCGTGCACGTGATTCTTCCCTCGGCTTCCGACCACTACTTCTCTTTATTTCCTGCATTACCTGCTCACCAACGTCTCTATCATCCTGTAGGTCCTGCGCTTCCTGTTGACTAAGTGATCCTCCTTGCTGTAGGCGTGTTTTTTTAGCTCTACGGCGCTTACTTAGTACTTCATTTGCTTGTCGAAGTCTCTGGTTCTCAGCTTTCAATAGTACTATCTGGTGCATTACTTTTGATGCACCCTTCGTAAACTGGTCAATGGCCTCGTAAATAGGGGTTGGAGAGCTACTTTGGTGGCGTAAAATTCGATCTTTAATAAATGCAGTCTGTGATAAGGCTTCAGTAGGGTTATTTGGTGTCTGGGAAACCCAAGGCTGAGCGGAATACGGGGGGGAGTTTGGAGGCGTTGGCGTCTTTAGCTTAAGATCAAGTGTAGAAATTACACTTTCTGGGTCAAATGGAAGAAGCCCAGCCCCTCGGAACCCTCCTCGGATATTGCTTTCTGTCATTGCAATATTAAATGCGGCGTGGAAGGCAGGAAAGAAATCATCCTTAGTAATATGGATGATCTGAGCCCGCATCATATCTTCAATTTGCTGACCATATGCCCTTTTCAAAGGGCTAAAACAGCCAACGTCGAGTGGCTGGAGTATATGAGAAGAATGAGCAGGCATACAAAGAGTGATAATGTTGTTTTCCTTGCAATATTCCTCAAATTCGTCGGAGTGGTGGCTTTCATGGCCGTCGAGGACTAATAGACGATAACCACCAATAGATTGGGACTTTGTATGCTTCTCAAAATGTCGAATCCAATCCATGCCTTTCTCATTTGTTGTCCAACCATTTTCAGTAATAGCAATCACCCAGTTAGGTGGAAATCCACTGTTTTGGTACCAAGAAGCGAGGTGATCTTTTGCGACAACAATCACAAACGGTGGAACACACCAGCCTTGGGCATTAACCCCCTGGATTACTGTAACCCATTCCCGATTACCAGGCTGTACTCTTTTTGCTTTTACACGTCCTTCTGAGCTTGTAATAACCATTGCAGTTGAGATAACGCCCATCATAAACCCAGTCTCGTCAAAGTTGTAGATATCTGCATCGTAGATTCCGTACTTCGCTATTGTGTTTCGTACAAGCTCAAACCAGCCACGAATGACTTCTGGATCTTCGCACTTAGCTCTCTGATAGTCGTATTTTCGTTGGAAGCGTGTCTGGAGTTCTGGGCGGCGCTTAACAAAGTTATAAGCCCAACGCGTCCCGACGCGTGGCGCGTCGCGTGCTTCAAGAAGTCGATTTGCTATATCTTCAACTACAGATATCCGCGGAGGAAATCCTTTTGTAGCTAGGTCGAGGATATGTTGAACAAGTACTGATTCCTCTAGCTCGGTCATTTTCCGTGAATTGGCTAAAATATCGCGTCGTGAAGGTATACCAAGCAAACGTCGACCTAGCTTCCGGTGGTCTACAGAATAGGTCCTGGCAGCAGCTCGAGCACGTAAATTTGGGTCTTTTTGCATAGCTTGGATAGCTAAGACTAGCCGGCTTTCGTCATTTTTCAGAGGCATCCTTCGTTGTAGAGAAATTTAATATTTCGTGGAGGTGTGGTGGGGTCGCCGGGTTTTGGCCGGTTCGCTTGTTTGGCCGGTTCGCTATACATGCACGTTATACTAAAAGTTTAGTATAATAACAGTTTATTTAGTGTGTATAGAGTAACGACCATGTCTCTTACCGACCTTTGAGATATCAAAGGCTTGAGACGCGATATTAAAAAGGGTACTAGTAAATATAACAAAATCAAAGAAATAGTATAACACGGTACTACCCGATTGGTCTTAAAACAAAATGATACTAGATGAATACAAAGACCAAGAAAAACAGAACCGTGCAAAAGTCGAGTCACTCAACTAAACATTCGAGAACAGGAAGAAACTGATATTAGCCTACTTGGAGAATATAGTAGTCAGAGACAAGATTATACAGATATATAATAGCTTTATTACTTACCCGCAACACCCTATGAATGATTCGGAGTATTATTAGAATATGAATAGGCACGTAGTGTTTGAACCCCAGTCATTAGATTGAACCTCCGTAATTAGATCGAATAAAGGCGAAATAATAACCAGAATCCGGACCCAGTGTCCAGAGAGTGTCATCCCAATCAGTTACGAATCACAACATCCTTCAATACCAACCTAATTCCCACCATCCCGTAACCCCCCCACCTATCACCAAAAACAAAACCTCTCCTCACAATCCCTTAACCATCCCATCCCAAACATGGCCTCCCCAAGAACCTCCCACAATCTCAACGTAAACCAAAACAACCCACCCCCACCACCACCTCCCAGCAATACCACATCTCAAGCTAGGTATCCAAACCCCTTTCTACCATCCGACTCAACAACACATCCCTATCGCGCGTCCTCATACACAAACCCCCAATATCTCTCACATATCTACCAACTTACCCTATCCACGAATTCTCAGTACCGGACCAACGGGTTATCTCAAACTTACCAGTCCGATGCCCCCAAGCTATCCTCTGGAAAAGTTCGCGTACGATGGAAATGCACATATAGTAATAACCTATAGGATGATTTTTCGGAACTAGAAGAGGGAGCAAGAGCTTATCGTGAGATATTTCATAATGAGAACGGAGGGGTGGATGCGGAATCACGACTGTCTAGAAGTTATAGTTCTTCAAGCCTTTCGCCTTCAGCTTCTACTTCAACGACCACATCGGAAAACAATATAGCGCCAGCGATAACAAGTCAGCGAACCTTAAATACTCATCCGTTACATACCATGCCGCGTATATACCTCAACCTCTCATCTCCTCCTCTACATCAGTTCAGCCACCTCGACAGCGACTCTCCTCCAACCACACACCACAGGAATACCAACCGACATTAAAGCTTTCACCATCACCGCGCATCGCAAGCTAGCTGACTATCAGAGAACTCACATCTCCACAAATTCTATTCATTCTTGAACGTACGAGTACTAAAACTCCGTAACATCACCTTCACAAAATCCACATACTTCCCCAGAAGCAAAACCGCAGATCTAAAACCGGACATCAACACTACACGAACTCTCCCTCCACCCAACACCCATGAGTACACACTTTATCCCTATTTACTCACTCTCCTTCCCCCCGTGGGAACGAGCCATCTCCTCCATTTCTTAATAACCCACATATGCATATAGCTAGAGATAGTACACAGATCTACAATCAACTCCCAAAAAAGACAACAGAGTTAATGAAAACATCTAGGGACGTAAGTTAAGGTTCACATCTCGAGGATATACTGAATCATCAGAGGATCGTATCTCTCGCTACTCTTATTACAGTTAGTAGGACGATCGTTAGAGTTACTTAGTCGGTGTAGATGGGTGGGATACGAGATGCTTTTGCTGTTTCGATTGGACCGTTTATGGTAGTGCTGGCTAGCTTTGGTATTCTTGTTGCTAGAGTGGTTGATAGCTAATTGTACTGGGTTTGTTTGCCCACTATAAAAAGAATACCCGTGCTCTCACTTATAAAAATATATCGTACTCTAGGTATTCTATTCTATTCTGTTATAGTATAGTAAAGCTAACCCCCCCACCCCCTACCCCCCCGACTCCTTTAATAATAAAGGCTAGTTTGTAACAATAGTCTTTTTTATATAACTATCTTAAAAAAACTCCTCTTTCTCCGCTAAGGTAGTATCTATAGACAAAGACTTTTTACTTTATTTACGTTGAATCACGTTACTACTATACTTGATTAGTACTTTACTCTACCCGAGTACCTAGTAGATCCTCCACCCCCCCTTCCCTTCCCTTCCCCCCTTACCCCCTCCTCCTTCCTTCTAACACAAAACCCCCCAAACCCCCAAAATCTCCATAAACCCCCCCGTGCCATTCCTTAGCCCCCTTAACTCCAACCCCCTCAACTCCAACCCACCCCTCCCCAAGGACAGAAAGAAAAAACAAAAGAAAAGAAAAGAAAAGAGACAAAACCCATTCATTCATTCCATTAAAAGCTAACTAAGAGTGCATTGCACTATACGCATCAACATACCAGCTCCATGTCCACGTGCATGTGCAACCCTTATCAAAGGCGCGAGTCAAACAGAATCTACTCCCATCCCTCCATACATTCATTCACCTACTCCCTTCATAAACTCCAACCATCCTCATAGGTAAAACGCCACAGGAAGCCATAGCTATTCCTCGTACCAAATGAACAAAAAACAACAACAACAACAATAGAGGCAAATGCAAAGATGATCTAACCCGTAGATGCACATAGCCGCCCGCCTAATTTTTACCCCTTCTTCGTCTAGCGACCCTAGGTATAAGACTTTTAGTGATGTAGAACCAGAATCTCTCATAATGTGTCATCTCTCATCATAACAAGAAAGGAAAAGAAAGAAAACCTCCAAATCGAAGACATGTGTGAGGAACATGATAAACCTTACAATATGTAGATGCCAAAGAATCGAGTGGGCCGACTTAATGACCCTCGCCAACTCCGAAAAGATAGGCGAGTTGACGAACATCGAGACGACCAAGGGTCTTGTTCGCGCCTTCATCGAGTGCCGAATCTACAAGATGTCGCTTCTTCTCCTGCAATTCGATGATTCGATCTTCAACAGTGGCTTCAACCAAAATGCGATGAACTTCGACGGGGTTTTGTTGGCCTATGCGATATGCACGATCAACAGCTTGCATTTCGGTATACTGAAAAGAATTAGCAGATATGTTTTGACCACAGCGCATGATTCTAGACTTACCGGGTTCCAGAATGGATCGAGAATGATGACTCGCGAAGCAGCAACCAAGTTCAAACCAGCATTACCAGCCTTCAAGGAAATCAACATGATCTTGGTATTTGGATCCATAGTAAACTTTTCAATCGCTGCATTCCGCGCTTCCGCGGACATGCCTCCATCATAACGCTCCACCTTCCAGGAATTTTGCGCGATAGGTACCTGAACAAGGTCAAGTAGTGAAACGAATTGACTGAAGACAATAGTCTTATGTCCATCATCTTGGAATTGCTGAAGAAGATGGACGCATTTGGAGATCTTTGCGGACGGGATATAGTCTTTGGTTAGTTGTTTCATATACTTCTTTCGTGCTTTGGCGGAACCTGAAGCCATCTTTTTGAGCATGGCAAGCGAGACGTGAGTCTTGGTACTCTTCTCCTTGCCTTTGCCCTTTCTGTCCTTCTTGCGGCGCTTGACCTTCTTTTCCTTTTCCTTGCCCTTGATTTTGGGTTTGGTCTTTACTAACGTCAGGTCTTTGGGAAATTCATCGTCGGCATCGTCGTCCAAAGGTTCCTCATTTTCAGCCTCAGCTTCTGATTCAGAGATATCGTCAGGAACAATGAAATCACGTAGATCTCCATCACTGTTATCACTCTCTTCAGAGTCTGAGTCGGAGTCGCTCTCGACATCCTGAGCTTCAGTCTCCCCGTCAGGTTCGGGTAGATGCGCCTTCTTGAAAGCTGCGTAATCGATCACATTTTCGATCTTTGCGCGACAAGAAACGCACTTGGATCCACCACCATCGTCTCCGTTGGCAACGTTTTGTTGAGCGGCTTGATTTTCAATCTTAGCATAACATTCCGAGCACGTATCGTGGCCACAAGGAACGAAAATCTTGGGGTTTGAGACGGCATCATAGCAAACCGGGCACTCAAAAGCACCACCTTCGACATCAAGAATTCTCTTGATTACTTCCGGCTTAAGATCCTTTGCCAATTGTAACATGGCATCATTATCAATACTCCCCGCACCCCCAGCGGGCGCCTCCTCGAAGTCGTTGATAAGGTGAGGGTGACAAGCCGCTTGACGAAGACGCAACAAGAGGACGAGAACGTTGGAGTAATTCTTGCCAACAGTACCCGCTTTGAGGTATTTGTTGAACAAGATTTGTGTTTTTGTCTCCAGAGCCTTATAAAATTCCAATTCGTCATCATTGAAGACGACATGCTGAATTTCTTCGGTTTTTGGCGGAAGTGTGATGATGGGCTTACCGTCTATCATCGTCTTTTTCGTACGTCGAAGAAGGATTGCCTTGATGACTGTCTGCAATTTTCTCAAAGCGTTCTTGGCCTGCGTCTGGGTGGAATCTCCCTTACTGAGACATCTGAAATGCTGTGTGAAATCCAGTTAGTCGAAGCTCAAGTAGACTTGTTTTACCAGAAAATCCGATCAATCATTTTCATTACGCCAAGTGTTATGGGTAATTGATCGTTAAAATCCTCAGTTGTCCCAGTTGACTAGAATAATCTGAGGGCGCCTGGCAAAATGTTTCCTACGGGAATAGACCGAGTAATGACCCGATCACTTCCGTGAAACGGTGCGAGGGCCACCCTGTACTTGGATGACAACCCACGAACAAACCGAGTAATGCAAGAAAAGGGATGGTCATGAAAAAATGGAGAAAATCACTAACATTTTGAAATGTGCCAAAATCGTTGTATGGCTTGATTCTGAGAAAATGGATCAAGGAATATAGCTCCCCAGCGTTATTCTATCCTTCATGGTTAGCGGCTTTTAAAGAAAGGAACATTGATCGTTACTTGCCATCATAGGTGTCCCTGTAAGACACCATCGATATGTCGAATGCAATTCGCTACACGCACGCGCAGATTGCGTCTTGTGGTTTTTGATCCATTGAGCCTCGTCAAGAATTACTCTGTAGAACGAGCTTCTCTTGGAGAGCAACGGGAAGAGTTTCTGCATGGGAGCCTCATCGTAGTTGGCACCGTACCGGGTCTTCTGGTCCTTCTCCCACTTATCTCTGCGTTTCATTTCCGCAGCAAGCGTGCCATATGTCGTGAGAACGATGTCGTAATTCCGGAGGTTGCTCCAATCCAACTTTTTCGCTTGCCCATGAACCATATGAACGCTGAGTTTGTGAGAGCTATTGACCTTCACCTTAATCTCATTTGCCCACTGACGAACAAGGGCAACAGGGCCGACAATCAGATTTGTCTGATTCGAGTCAGTTGATTCATCAATTTCTATCGCTGCGTGATCTTACCTTTCGTGCATGGTCATCGGATGGCTGGGAAAGTATCAGGGCCAAGGTGCTGATTGTTTTGCCCAAGCCCATGTCATCTGCGAGTATACCACCTTTGTTGCTGCCAGCCTCCATCTTCTTCAACCAATTCAAAGCAATCTTTTGGTGTTCATACTATGTGCAGTCAGCGAGTTATCTGGACATATGTTCAATTGTCTTACAAGAGGATACTTGAGACCAGCAGGGGTGCCTTCTCTATCTTCGACCGATACATCCATATCGGGTTGAATGTTCTCGAGGAGTAATTGGATCTCTTCATTGGTCTTTCGTGGGTCATTTCTAATGTAATCTGCTTGGTCATATAACGACATCATATTGGGGTTGTGCGGATGCAGAGGATGCGCAGGGACGTTATAAAGTTGTTCGCTGGCGAATTGATTGTTGTCCTTGAAAGGGTTGCCAGAACTTCCTATATCAATGGGGTTCGCCATAGAACTATTATAAAGAGAATTTAGTTCAAGGTCTGAAAAGCCTGGAAACTGCGGCTCGATTCCAGAATATGCGAGATCCATGTCAGTGGGAAACTGGGGAACCAAAAAACCGCCATTGATGGTAGGGTTTCCATGGTAAGAAGCAGGGCCAGGCACAAAACTTGCAGGAGGAACAAATGTGGCAGCGGGAATCAAACTTGAATCAGGAACAAAAGGTGTGTTGGGTAATACGTACTGTCCAGCGGAGAGGTCTCCAAACATAGAACCAGCGGGAAGAGGAGCATGCATTGAGGCGGATGGCCACGAACCCGACATTTGTTGGGTGGGATACAAGGCAGCACGCAAGCTTTCATTCTTGATGAGATTTTCACTTTTCATGCCTCCAGCAAAAGGAGCCGCAGGCTTTGTAATCTGTCTAGTGTGGGTAGGCAGGGCCAGGCTATTTGAAGCAAGCGGTCGTCTTCCATTGTCGTGGAATGCAGAGGGTGGTATAACCTCAATTTCCGAATCACTTCCGTCTTCCAGAAGAGAAATACTTTCTATGCTTCCACCATTGGTCGTGCGAGATGAGGACGGGCCACTAGAGGAGGACTCATTCTTAATCACTGAATTCAAGGAACTTTTAGAGGTTGACTGAGACGAGCTGGATGAGCTCTTGAAATATAGTCGCATGCCAGACATTCGGTCAAAAGCCGTGGGTCCTGAGTTAGATGGTCGAGCAGTAAAGGTAGCTGGCTCATTTTGTAGTCTACGAGCAAACTCCTCATCCTCCTTCTCCTGGAGGCGCTTTTTTTCTAGTGCGCCTTGATGCTTTAGAAGGTCCTTGAAGTCAAGGAAGCCATTGTTGGTGGTACTGTCAAACGCATCGTCACTAAAAAAAGTTATTAGCAAAGTAAATTGTATAAATGAGTAGTACTAAGCAAGAATAGTTTTCCATGAAACAGAGGGCAAGTGAAACTATCACGAACAAAGCGAGGTCAAAGTAACCATCACCATCACCAAGTACATCGGGGTATCCATACCCAGAACTTGTATCGGGCGTTGCCGGGAGACTATCGAACTGGATGGGAGATGTTCGACGAGATTTCATCTTGTTCTCTGAGTGAGGAGGGGCCAGGCTATCTTGTAGCTTGCTATGCGTTCGCTTTCGATTTGTATTGTTGGGCCGAGGGGGTACCAAATCGGGGAACTCTTCGCTATCGGGGGTCGAGGCAGAGGGGCTAGACCATTCGTCTGGTGCTATACAAACATTAGGCATTGCTTTGATTTGGAGAGATCTGGATTGGCCGAGGCAGCTGGAAACTTACGTTGGTAGCCGTTCATTGTAGGTGCCGCCATACTGCCTGTCTGCGAGGGTGAATTGCTCGAGGAAGGATTACTCGCAGGTCGTTGCTGTGATGATCGTGATGATTTTGCAGTTGCTAATTCTGGCGGGACGGTAAATGGCTTTCCACCCAATCTCTTGACTCGGTTCTGAAGATCTGCTATCTCCTTATGAGCATCGCGCTCTATGTCGGCTCGATCTCTCGAAGAGTCGTCTAGGGAGCTTAATATCACGATCTGGAATTCGATTTCGGCATTGAGGTCATCGATCTCCGCTCCCTGGGAGGCGTAAAATGGTGTTGAGGAGGAAGCCATAATTAAGGCTGAGGAGCGGCAGAGTACAAGTACTTTATCACGGACAGTACGCGGAGCGGAGCCGCTTGCATGCGGGAACTGGATGAATGGAGAACACCAGGCTCGCCGGTGATGCGGAAGAGATCAAAAGAGTGTACAAGAAGAAGAATCAAGATTAGTCGTAGAAGTAGTTGTGTGGTGTTGGTACAGGAAGTCAAGTACTCCGTACATGGAGGATGGAAGATGCGATGATGCCCTCAACCACTCCCACTTATTCTACAAAAAGTGCACGCGCCGCGCTAGATGAGACGCGCCGTCTTAGCGACACGAATAGGGTCGTTCCTTCCTGAACTGACGAAGCCAATTAATTGTATGGGTGGAAGGTGTTCATCTGTGGTGAATCGACAAGACTTCACCTATACATTCCCCCTGTTTACAAACACTTCTTTGTTGAATTGTATTAAGACGGCCCAAAATCGGGTTGCGACCTCTCGGCAACTCGTGGCGTTCCACCCCGGACCTTTTTGCCTGCCGACTGGACCCCGAAGAGGCCAAGGCTGCAAACGCGAAGAGTCAGTGAAAAGAGACGACAGAAACAGGCTCACAGCCTTTTTCTGAGTGATGTTGATTTCGTGAGTCATGATCGCCTAATTGGGGCAAGAAGCGAGCCATAGGTGCTCTTCAAGGCTTTTCTCTTCGTCTTCGAGCCTCGTCGCACCAACCCAACCCAGAGGAGCATGTCCGATCTTGGTGGATCCTCTGCATGTCGATAGTGCTTGCATATGCGAATCCATAGGAATCTGCACAATGGCATGTCCTATGCATTGATACCCCGCTTTATTATCCACCAACATTGCATGGCTAGAAAAACTCTGGATCCAAAGAGCGATTTCGGTCCAGCCCGCTGTGGAATCATCGCAAAGGTGTTCCCATATGTTGCTAAAGGAGAGACTGGTCCAATGTCTGATACGCAATGCACCTCCACATCATTGCGAACCCGACAATTTAATTGGTTGAAAAGGTATCACGTGGAGCTGCACCTTCCTTCCATCCTATGACACTTCGCTTAGGTATACCAGTATGGGAGCATCGTGGGGGCGGAATAGGAAAGAGAGATGCGAGTGGTCCCGTCTCCCGACCTCTGCTCGTCAGAAGAGGAAAAGGAAGGAGAAATGTAGTTGCGAACTGCGCCTCTGTGCGACTATCCCTACTCCAAACTTGGGACTTGGAGATCGCGAAGTTGGTAGGAAGCCTTCCGAATGAAATTGATATAAATTAGCCAGATTACGGAGGCTACGGTTGTAATTACGTACCTCATGTTCCTACTGGTGCACCAGCACTGGGGCATCTGTGTTGGTGTCACCAACCAAGGAATATGCTTCTATCAATAATGCAATGACTGCTCTGCAGGAAAGATTTGGATGTGCTGCTCTTCACTCCCTGACTACTACAGCGGTTTCTCATTCATTAGGAGCTTGGAACACATCCACTTGTGGCTACGATTCCAGAATCACAAGGACAGCGAAATGATGAAGCTTATGGGAGACTTTACAAATGCCGAAGAACAATGGACCGAAGAATGGAAGTAATGGGAGATTTTGAGATTGGAGGCTGAACTTATCAATAGGTTGAATCTAGCCGTTCATCCGAATATCTCGCACTCGTTCGATACCTACTTAGCGTCAAAGCACATCCTACCATCGAAATTCCCACCTCGACACTAAGGAAAATCAGCTATCTATATATACTGTATAACCTTTATATACTAGTAAAGTACCTAGGTAGAGTAGAGTGTAATTGCCCTATCTATCTATTGATTAATTAATTAATCTATTAGCTTACCGCGGAGACTTGGTGATGTGCGTAAACCTATTCTATAGTAATATTGTCCTTTTAAGTGATTGATTGTCTAAACACGTCCTATAATCGATATCTATTTTTATATAACGCGGAACCGGATATGAAGCTTTCATGGACCTTTTCAAGGGCCGGTTTGAGAGAGGATGTTGCTAAAGAGGGTTATTCTGTGGAAGAGGGAAGTTAATGTTTCGGGAATGGGGTTAGGACTTTAAAGGGGGTCGTTGGTGAACTTCAAGGTTTTCCATTGTTAGTTTTGTTGTCGTTGAGGGGACAGAGGATAGAGGACTGTAGTATTGTTTTTGTGATTGTGTAGAGCATATTTTACTATACGTCTATATAGATATTGCCTATACACTTAGTGAGAACTCTAGCTATCATCGAGTCTAGTTCTTAGTATATTGAGTAATTATACTCCCATATATAATGAAACAAGGTTGGACCATGACAACAAAAATGGACGTACCATATGGGACAAATTCATTTCCTTCTCAAGTCACAGTATAATCCCAAGCAAGACAACTTTTTGGTAAGTCTAACGATATTAAAAGTAAGAGATACTGTACAGGAGACGTGAATATTATATTACTACTTTTCATCCGAACTTTCCTCCTTTAGGAATTATTTACTGTCGAGATAGAACTTGTCGTCGAATTTTCATTTTTGTTCACTTGAATAACATCCTCAGTGTATCAACGATATAACGCAGCACAGAAAATCCATACATCCCCATGCGACGCGTGGGTGTACTTCATTTTTCTTGATTTGCTAGGTGGAAAGGAAAAAGCGTCACATGAACAGGTGTTGCTGTGTCATAGCTCCCTCGGACGCTGCTTAACAGTATTTATAAACTGTTCTGGTGTGGGATAGATGTTGGAACGACTTTCTATAATATAGTATTGACTACAGTATTGATTGTAGTGACTTGATGAGAGGCTGAAAGGAAGGTTTTAAAGCAGGAGCGTAGGACTAGTGTTGAGATGGGAAATGTGATTTGAAAATTTCTTTGTTTAGTTAGTTCTAGGGTTCTACGAGCATCCTTTGACCGTCTGGTGGTTCTGGGGAGACTTACTATCCTAAGTTGAATCTCCTTCTACTTATACATAATTTCGACGACACGTTTCAATATATATAAACTATACCAAAAAGAACCGTAATATCCGAACCCATCGAAAACAAATCTCACAGAGGAGAGGCATACAGCACTTCATGTATCCATATCCTCGCTTCACAATTAACTACTTATACCCCGAAAGAGCCTTTACGATTCTGTATGCACTTTACAAGACTAACCTCTGGGCTGCTAATGGAGCACTCTCACCCTTAGAATGGTCGGATCAAATGGTGTTAGAAGATCGAATTTAATTCTTTGGGTACTTGGGTACTACGTGTTGAAGTTAAAATGACTTGTGCTAGCGCGGATGTTGTGGGATTTTTATCTGAATGTTTGGCGTTCGTGGGATTAAGTAGTGCTGTCGGAATAATAGTTGTTGTCGAATCCGCTGGCAGCCATTGGACCACGTCTGAACGGGATGCCTCAGTGTCCTCCGCTTCCATTGCCTTCAAGCTATTCGACGTCTCCTCGTACTTCTCGGTTACACCATGTCCGACCAAGAACTTTCTTAGTAATTGTCTTAGGTTCTCCCGTTATCCATTCTAGGTCAATACAGCAGATGGTGAAATCTTCGCAGCCGGCGTATCGAGCCCAAGATAGTTCGATACATTTCTGCTAGTTGGCTTTTGCATTTGGGGGGAGGGTATTTCGTCGATGCGTGAATTGAAATTACAAGGATAGCGGGAGCGGTAGAACAATTACTAGAAAACGTGATCAGTTGAATATTAATATAAGCAGATATATACAGTACTTTATACTATCTTATTGGGTTGAAAGGGTATTGGGTACTGAAGGTCATGGAGAATTGATTGCATTGTAAAAGGTAGCTATCTAAGGTGTTTATATAAAGAGTGTAAGGTTTAGGCAGACATGCATCATTTAGGCAGCAGAGCTATAAGTGGATCAAATAAGGAAGTGGAGCAAAAGAGAAAGTAGACCCAGCACAACATATCTTTACCCATTTTCAAGGACTAGTGTCGGTACATCTAGGTCCTAGGTAAAAAGAAGACTAGTTATATAAAACTATCTAAGATATTAAGGTATAACCTTCAATACATCTAGCCATAATACTATACTCTTTTAGGCCCTATAGGAAATATAACTAAAAGATGTTATACCATATCTCTTTACTTCGTTAGTGATACCAATATTTAGTATATTTATTTATTTATTTATTGCTATTTAACGTCAAGCGGAGTCTAGCTCGCGCGGGCTAGGTCCTAGAAGAGTCCCAATATGGGCAAATGACGCTAGGGGGGTGCCCTAGGCTACAGGGGGTGTCAAAGAAGAGACGCTAATTTACAAGAGACAGTTTAAAGAGAAGCCCCACTTTCGGGACAGCCCTTATCCTTAATTAGTTTTGAGAACCAGGGTACAACAAATGAAATACATAAATCAAAGAAAGAAAGAAAAGTAGGCCAGCCTATCTAGGTAGACAAATCTTAGTGAAGAATCTAGTCTTAAAGTAGACCTTATTAAATAGCTCCTCGCAGCCGGGGCCGAAGAGCAGCTGAGGGTTCCTCTGAGCTTCTGCTAGTAGCCTAGGGGCTACGTTGTTTGCTAGCCTACAAAAGAGTAGGTGGAATTGAGACTTAGCCTTCTTACACTTACAATCCCCTGAGGTAAGTAATGCGTCGAAGTGAAAGAAGCGAAGGTGGTAAGCGACAAAGTCTCCATGCCCAGAACGAGCAGCTATTAAGCGAGCTGTTAGAAGTCTATGTGTGTTTTTATATATTAGGGAAAGGTAAAAGGGTAAGGGATCCTGAGATTGTAACTCTAGGGTAGCTTGTAGATATAGTATTGTATAATCCGAGTTTACTTTTATGTCTAGATTAGAATATAAGATATTCGCAATTAAATCTTGATATCTCAATACTGGGACAGCGGAGGAAGAGGTAATCGTAATTGTATTCTGTGACAAAGGTGATCCTCGGCTAATTTCATTACCCAGTAATAATACACAAAAACTTTCTCATATAGCTTCCTATAGTAATATCTTATGTCCCTCTCCCTTCAACTTGAATCTTTGGTATTTAACACCGCAAAACTTCAAAAGCCATTCTCTACCCAACTACTAATCGATCCTCAAGTAACTTTTCCTTCTACGTGACTCCTAGAACTGAGGATATACATCCCACATAGTAGTGTATAATAAAGTTATCAAAACATTGTTTAAATATTAGAACACCCGTCAGATGAATCATGAATGTGACGGAAATCGTCCCTATCGTTTCCCACGAGACGCCTGCGTGTGGGAGTACCAGCTTCTATCCAAGTCTTAAGTAAATCGTGGGGTTTCACGACGTGATTGAATCTGGAAGTTGATTAGAGAGATAGATAGCTGTATCGGTGTGAATCTTGTAGGATCTTCATCTAAATGTCTTTCGTTCGTGAGAGCCAGTGGTATTGTCGAGATAATAGTTGTTGTCGAATCCGCTTCTTTCATTGACTCCTGCTTCTCATTGTGATATGTGTTCGTGATCGCAAGGGGGATTGGCATTGGAATTGAGGGAAGAATACTTTACAGCTTTCCCTTTTCCTTCGTGGATGACATAGTCTTGCTGTGAATATCGTCAAGTAGTGATGTAAATATCGTCAAGCAGTGCTGGGTAAAGAGGTGCTAAGGATATCGTCAAGCAGTGCTGTGTGGAGAGGCTATGACCATTGTAGTGGGTCGACGTTTGTTTGTAAATGAGTACTCGACAGCTATCAAGAACACCAAATCACTACTATTGTATTTCCTTCCTTACTTACTACCCAAGTTACTGCGCTAATTATCAACAAGATACAATGCTGTAGATTCTAGAAAAATCTTCATAGTATAGAAACAGGGATTTCTTGCATCGCATTACATCCGCTCACCAACGTCAGACAATCTCTTCTATCATTACTTACCTTAGGAATCTATAGCCACGTACGACCAATCGGTCGCCTTATTATCCTGTGACCTCGAGTCACAGGATTTTGAGTCGAAAGCCACCGTAAGAGGGTGTGAGGGTTGGAACTCATGATGGAGGCTCGGGCCATGCCCTCGCTAAGCACTGACCAAAGTCCCTGCTCAGCACTGGCCATAACCCCACTGCCAAGCAAGTCTCTTCTATTCTATACTTTTCTGTTCTATTCTCTTGACACCATGTATTTGTTAAGCAGTTTCTTGGAGTATTCTAGAAGCTCTTCCTCTCTCTATATATAGAGAAAGAGCTTGTATGTATGTAGTCTTCACGCACTTCTTAATTGAATTTCCCTGCTCAGCACTGGCCATAACCCCACTGCCAAGCAAGTCTCTTCTATTCTATACTTTTCTGTTCTATTCTCTTGACACCATGTATTTGTTAAGCAGTTTCTTGGAGTATTCTAGAAGCTCTTCCTCTCTCTATATATAGAGAAAGAGCTTGTATGTATGTAGTCTTCACGCACTTCTTAATTGAATATTCGAAACCACACCTTTGAGCTATTCGAGGTCTGGCCTCTCACAGAGGGTAACTTATAAACATCCCCAATACCAATACCCCTTGCGATCACCAACATATCTCCCTAAGTGAATAATAATAGTACACTTTATAGTAAGGGGTATAATAAGCTTCGTAGAAGTATAAAAAAGAGACTTGTTTTAATTAATACTGGCTAGCTTCAAAATCCCTTTAGTCTTTATATTAAATCTTAACCCTATAGTAGGATTATCTGTGCAGGAAGTCTAGGTAATTCTCTTTATATATACCAAAAAGAATATTAGACCCAGTGTCTAGTATAATTAAATCAGTTATCTTAGTAAGCGTAAGTAAATAAAAAGTGAGATATAATGACTGTTCTAAACCAGCTATATAACTATTTCAGTTGTGCGAAGGGTTTTAGATAATATAATTGTAAGCTAGGTGTCTAGAGAGTAATGACCACGTCACTTACGAGCCCAGTAATACCGTGACATTAAGTTGCCACGATTTCATAAATCTTGATGAAACTAAGACGTTCACTATCTTCAGAAAATCGTCATCTTTTCAGGGGTTCTTACAAAAGAAATAAACCACCCAGGTTAATAAAGTGCTAATTGGCTTAGTGATCGACATTGTCTGCCTTTTATTCGACACCCAATATACTTTTCCCTGGGGTTTGCACTACTGCAAATGTTATCACTAACAATTCCCGTATCATTATATGGGCTCTTTCCTACGCCTTTTGCTCTTGGTACTGTAAATTAATGGCTTAGTACTTTACCCATCAGAGCTCATTGTACTATTACCTCTGTGGTAGTACAGGTAAACATCCTCGTCAATTCTGATCATCTTCTCCCTAAGGTACCGTTATGAGCTATAACACAGACGAAACCTATATGTCTGATTCTAGGTTATTCAATCAACTTCCGACAAGGATCACACGTCGCTCAGAGAAGTCATTTTCAGTCGTTTCTTCAGATGAAAATATAGTATCAAATCCAGTCTCTAACATATTGAGAGCGCGGAAGTGCAGTCTATTCGAAAGAAGGATACTTAAACTGATCTTCTAGAACTGAATCTTGTTACTGGTTTCAGGCAAGTAGCTGTCGTTGAATGAATCACTCCTTGAAAACCCGAGTGCTTGAATTCGCCTTGTTATTCACCCCAGAAAAAGGGGCCGCGCCTTTTCGTTGTCATACTGGAATCCTCTATAAAAAAACCAAAGTTTTCCAAGGAAAGACCCCTTCTTTAAGCTAGTCTCCAATCTAGAGCACATCCCCAACCATTCATTTTCAAATCGCCGTCGCAGGAAACAGTGCGACTTTGGTGCCGTGAAGATTATTAAACGTCGCTCTCGTCTCCTCAGTCCATGGCCTATCATCCCGACTCTCAATCCTCTCAAACTCTCTCAGAATCTTGATCATCGTGTACGCAACCTCAGCGAACACCAACCGGAATCCAGGACAAATACGCGGGCCGCCACCAAATGGGGTGTACTCCCAAGTCGGTCTCAGGGTATCCCACCTTTCAGGCCTGAATTTATCCGCGTCGTCTCCCCAGAATTCCTTGTCTCGCAGAGTACACCGGAAGTTCATTTCGACAATATCTCCCTTGCCTATGTAGAGTGGTTTTGTCCCGTCTTTTCCACCGCCCGTCGGGAAGAAAACTTCCTTGAGACACTGTCGTGATATCAGCGTTGAGATCGGGGTTACTCGGTGCGTTTCCCTTATGACATTCTTAAGATATTGATAGGTTTTCAATAAATCATACGTGGTAGGCAGATCTTTGCTTGGCAGGACTTCTGCCCTAAGCTTTTTCCATGTTCCTGGGCTTCTGGAAAGATGGAAAAGTGCTTTACTTAGGGTGATCGCCGCGCCATCGTGCGCTGGTGTGAAAACATTTTGCATCTGGAAGCGAAGCATCAACCTATCTTGGGTTGCCTTTGCCATCTCATCAATAAGACGAAGACGGTCCAGTTCCTCTTCAACCCCTGCAGACTTGCTCTTGTTGTTCTGTTGTCGGACCAGCGCTTTGTCAACGAGATCGTCAAGGAAATTATTGACGATGTCACAGTCTTTCCACCATTTGGGGTCGCGATATAGAAAACGCAACTTCGGTTCCAGCATCAAACGAACTGCCGTTCTTCTTTGAGCATAGAAATACGCATCCAAGAAGTCTTTGTGCGAACCAGCAGATTTAAGTGCATCCATCGATTCGCCGAAGATAAACTTGCTAGCCGTATCAAGACTCTGTTATTGCTTTGTTAGCTAATGGAAGTTATAGATACAGAGGAGGAATGTTCCTACCAAGCGTTTAAAGAGCGGCATCAAGTCGACAGTCGAAGCATCCCGGGGTATCAAATCCATCAGTCTCTCAACATGTCTCCCCAAGCTTCGATTCTCCAAATTGCCGATGTAAACTACATCAAACGAGGGTTTGATCGGCTTCCTCCGCACAAACCATTTCTCACCCTCAACCACAGTAATACCATCACCCCAGAGATATTCCGCACCAGAGCAAATCTTTTCCACGCCAAAACAATCGAAATAAGTTGCATGGACATATTAGGTGATCTTGGGGCTCATGGTGCATACATAACGCCGACCCAGCCGGTTGACTTGGTATGTTTTGCCATATTTCTCGAAAAGCTGCCATGTTAGATCGAGGAACTTTCGACCTTCAAAGGCTTTCTTGTATAATAAGAACAGATCAATGCCAAATAGGGGGTCTTTGTGTGGGTAGCTTGGGGGATTCTGACAGCCTTCTTTCTGTGTAATGGCCCTGATGTGAGCCCATGTGATGATTTTTTGAATGATAAATCTACAGATCCATAGAGTGAACAATGTACTGAAGATTACAGTGAAGGTTGACAACGCTGGAAGTTCCATTATGAGAATAAATTGTTCGGGCGAAAGGCTTGATGGAGAATTATTTTCTGGCAGGGAAAATGAGATGGTTGCTCAAGTATGAGGATATCTGAACTCTCTCGCAAACATGGCTAAATGCATTTCCAAGTGCATGTACTGTACATTGTTGGAGGCTGTGCCATTTTCACAATGTTACTGTAGCTGCACCTACCATACCAGGGTTTGATTGATCAGCAGTTCAGTACGCCTGGCGGCTAAATTGACCAAGTTTTCTGCTGGGCGTGTGCATACTGCAAGATGCACTGTGCTTGGTGGACGGCCCTGCTGGTTCAGCTACAGTAGTATTCGGAGGGGGCGAAGAGAGTGTTGTTAGAGCCGATTGAGTGCATGCTGTTGGTACCAACAGAAATCAATTGATAAGGAATCTGGGGAAACTGATTGGAGATATTGTGACGTATTAGGAAAGTGGCAAACCGAGGTACATCGTGACCAGTCTGTTACAACACAAGTTCTTTCAAGGCCTCCACTCCTTATCATAGGCACTTCCTTCCCAAAGATTACATCGTAGATATGGAGCAAAGTTTATGTCGGTGAAAAGTCGGATTTCCAACACTGTACAGTATCTCATTATCCCATGAGCTTGCATGGAAGAAGACTTTGACGCGTTCGGTTTGAGTACGGAATAGTTTGCTATGGGTAGCTGATATTATTACATGTATCTTGAAATGCATGAATCTATAACATGTCTACTTTGCTGTATATTGTGTTATTCGTGCTTCATACTTCTGCTGGAACTGTGTTTTATTTAATCTCGGGCACTATCAATATTACCACAGCAGCAGCAACAGACAAGCTAGGAAGAAAGACTTATATCACAAGCTTATTTGAAGTGGGCACGCGGGCATCAAAGGACATCTCTAGCATACGTGAGACTGTACCAGAAGCATTGAAGGGACCTTATGAAATGTATTACGTTTGTGGATGTCAAAAATCAAATTATTTATTCCTGATTTCAAGCCAACTACCTCACATTTCATGAAAAACCTTTCCCAATATCTGCTTGCATCTCTTCTCACCCCTCGCACGCTCAAACAAAACCCTCATCAAACACAAAAGCCATGCTTACGAAGTACGGCACTTATGGTTTGATAATGCATCTGGGCTTGACCTTGTCTCTTGAGTTCAAAGTACCGTATGCTAGAGGGGCTTCTCAACAAGCTTCATCAGCATATTGTCTTTAGAGTGCCGACCAATGAAAAGATTCAGTCACCTGTTCTAGTGCATGGCTCCTCGGCGACGACTACGTCTGTCTCTACATCTGAAGCAAGTTAGCTATCTTAGCTGCTACCGTAGAAAGTTCTGACATACCAGAAACAGGCATTGCAATTACCACAATAATGGAAATCAAGAACGTCCATCCACATGATAGTTTGAATTGCATCGTGAGCTGGAAGATGTCAGAAGCTTCTCATTTATCTTGTAGGATGATCAAAACGAACGTAATGTGAAGAAATGCTTCGCAGGGCTTAGTTTTCACGGTTGGTTTTGTTTGAAGAAAGGACTTATGGATTTGTTTCTGAGAGAATATGGGCCGCGGTGAGTATTCCTATAGGATGTCACTTAGGGTTGCTTGAACTCCTATATAATGGCCTCGGCACATCCTGAGGCAACATGTAGATCCACATCCTGTTTATCAGTTGAGACTTACTTGCGAGAGGCACATTTGCCAATCTTCCAATAATAATGTATGCTGGTGTGGCGCATTCTGTTCTTCCTATCTTTGCGTGCCTGCTTCCTGGGGGTTCTGTGGTCATAATTGGCTAAGCGAGGGCAAGCATCGCGTAATCTGGGACTCTCCAACTCTAGCTCCCCAGGCGACGGATCTATAGCGCGAAGCAAGGTTGTCAAATATTGTTTGTGCAATCACACTGAAACCCAATTGCGTGATCATGTGTATGCATTTGCCCTATGTCCAACTGGTCGTTTGCGTCATGTCTTCTAATAGGTTCGATTTCAACGTCCCCTGAGGCTTTCCAACATCTTCTACTGGAACTTTGCTGAAGTAATTTGAGCAGTGGTTGACTCTATCTATTTTAAACTGGTTTGCGGTCCAGTAGCTAAACTTATCACTTTCTGATGTTGCCCTCTTCACACAGGCTTCTATCTACTATACTAGTAATTTTATAACACAAAACACCAGAATACTCGACATGTTCGAAGAAAAGAGTGGCCTTCTGGTTGATGAAGAATGCAGCGATTCAAGTCATTCGTTCCTCGATCATACCCCGTGGCACCAAATGAGATGTCGTGCCTTCTGCAATGGGTTTCGATCTTACTACGTCCATCTCACGCCATTTGGAATATACTTCTTAATAATTCATGCTTTGTGCTTTTTATCTGGTATACTCGTCCTTGTACTACTCGCCCATCGATCGAATCTTGCGATTCTGGGTAAGTAAAGTTGATGAAATGTGAGCTATCGTTGATGTACTGAAATACGGACAGATTTTGACAACCGCTATCCTGACTGGGTGCCGGTTTCCTACCAGCTTCGAGCTAAGTATTCACTTGAAACTCCTCAAAATGGATTCACAGGGATGCCAAACGATCAGAACACTAAAGCATGGGACGATGTCATTACCCGTTCGTCTCCTTTCCGACCCTAACTCAGCAATGATTGAACTAACAGAGATATAACAGCGACTTATTTCTCCGCGTCTCAAGATGAACTTGAAAAGATCGGAGAATCAGTCCATAACTCTGTTCCCCTAGCCACCGGTGGTTATCTGGCAGGTCTTGGTGTATATCACGATATCCACTGCCTGAGACGCTTGCGACTATTTCTTCACAGTAATTATTACTATCGGACTCTTACTGATATGAATATGGATTATTTACGTGAACATCTAGGTAAGGGTTACCAATCACAATGGCTTCCTAGTGGCGCGCTCAATTGTACTTTCCGTTGGTTAAAGACTGTACTGATAGAGATACGAATAGGTCATTGCATTGAGTCTCTACGCCGTACTGTAATGTGCAAAGCAGACGTCAACGTTTTTACATTTACGTGGGATGATGCAGAGCTGATCAAGCCAGGCGTATGGCGACCAATGCCCAAGTCGAACCAAGAACGGAAGTGTGTTAACTGGAATGAATTGGAAGATTGGGTAACAGAAAGACATGTTCCGCTTCATCCAGTTCTTTTGAGGCGTAACGGAGAGAAAGAAAAGATTCTGATGGTTTGATTTAAGAAGTGGTGGGGAAGGCTTCAAGTTCATGACTTCTCACTCGTAATTATACATAACGAATGTTATCTTAGCAGTCATGATACACAACCAGACTCTTGTCCTCCCATGCAGTATTGTACCCGTGATAAGCTCAACTGTTTTCAGGATAGTGCATTACGGAGTTATTGCTTCAACATTATTTGTAGTGTGCGCGTGCAGGTGCAACTATGGAGAGTGAGGGCCATGGTGGAATCTACTCCACGTCTTCATCGCGCGTTAACAGATCTGCGCGTTAATCAAACTGGAAAATAAAAGTGGGTCTAATTGCTCAATGTGTTACCCTATGATGGTACTATCCGGCACAGAGCCAAGGCGATTCTCTGCAACAACACACTTGCAGATGACAAGCAGCTATGTGGCCCAGAGGTACATCAATACATGCTGGTTAGCGCTACAGTATTTCGGGGGGCAGTTCAATACTGTCTAAATGCACAGTTGGTACGGCGAAGTTGATTCTGCACAATCTGTTGGTCACCTACTGAAGATAACACCTTCTGCATGGGAGTCACAATCACCAACACAAACCCTGAATCACCAACAATCCAACTGCATATTATAAAGTATTGATCCTTCAAGCTCAACCATGAGCCAGATTTTCTGGGCCAATTGTTGCCCGAGCCTTATCGTCGCCCGAACTCCCCAGGAAACAGAGTACTTTTGAAGTTCAGCAATTGTTCGTTGTCGTTTGTATTCTCTCACGAGAACGAAAAAAAATTGCAGATATACCTTATGCTTTCTTCTTCTGATTTCTTCTTCTAAAATCTCATCATATACTCAGTTCCACTTATACAGGTAAAATGTTTATGTCAACTCCAAGTCCCGCTGCCATGTATGGCTCTACCATCACCCTCACGATATTGAACTGCTTTGTGGTTGCCTTGCGTTTTTACAGAAGAGAAGTACAAAAACAAGATTTGAGAATAGATGACTGGCTCATAATTCCTGCACTAGTAAGACACTGTCAAATCCTTGAGGCTTCCTCATGATTTAACCTGATTAAATGTGATAGTTCGTCAACATTGGCATCTCTATCGCCATGTGGGTCGCTCAGTTCAAGTTGACCTCTATTCTTGGTCATACGTGCTAATCGAAAATAGGAATCTCGAAGCACGCGGTAGGCTATCCCACGCCGCCCGTGACAGATCCTCTCAAGCTGCGAAGCATTGCGGGGAGAACGCCACTTGAACAAGTCAACGACACCATCAGTACGAACTAACAGGTCAGTATGAAGCCCAAATTCTAATTGCGCAGACCTGATAATATTACAGATCTTCTTTATTATCTATGCGATGTTCGCAGTCTCATTGGCATTCTCCAAGTCCAGCATTCTATTTCTGTATCGACGCATCTTCTACGTCAATCGCAAATGGCTAGATTTGGCAACTATCATCATACCTTTTATGATCGCCATTGTCGTCATCTTCGGGATTAGCATCAGCTTTGCTACAATTTTTGCATGCGGAACACATGTGAGCTACTGGTGGTCTACAGCCGGCTCCGCGCTCAAAGAACATTGCATCGACACACAAATGCTTACATACTCCCATTCGGTATCGGACTTTTTAATCGACGTTATAATCATTGCAATACCAATCCCGCTAGTATGGAGATTGCATCTGTCTACAAAGCGAAAGATTGGTGTTATCGCTATCTTTTTGACTGCTGTCGTGTAAGCACTTGGTCACAGATATTTTAGTCTTGTTGCCGACTTACCGCTGACGATCTTGTTTTTCTAGAGCACTCTCCGCCTCGTCAATCAAAATGCTGTGGTTTCTATGGGAGAACCAAACACCCTGGGATCCTTCTTTCGATCAAGATGGTACGGACTATCCTATCGATACACTTTTGAAATTTGCATAACTGACCTGGAGCAGAACTGTCTAGCACCTTTATCTTCTGGACTGTAATGGAAACGCATGTGGCCCTGATTGCCACATGCCTTCCAACACTGCGCAACTGCTTTGGCGATGGGTTTAACTTCAACTCTACATGGACTTCTCTCCGTTCTACATTCAATGGGAGTTCGCTTCAAACTATTGCGTCAGGGAGTCAAAAGGGGAAAACGAGTCAAGATAGTGCATCAGCAGAAGAAGCTGGTCAGGTTCATAGCCAAACTGGGTCAATTGTATGAGGCATTTCTGCAGCTTCACAGCTTGTATTTAACCTTGGTCTCTAATTGTGGTCAAGTTCAAGCAGAAGCCCACTACGAAGCATTGAAGGTAGCATAAGAGAACCTTAAATTTGTTTTTCATGAAGTAACCAATTCAGTCGATTCCCCCATCAGTATCGGGAGTGGCTTTAAAGTGACAAATATATTTTAAAAGTGTTGAACAACGTGGGGGTGAAACATGCTAGAGAGCGAGACCTTATGATGATTGATGATTTATATAAGACAGAAACCTTCTGGACATTATCTTTGATTGAAGTTGATTTTGTTGTAGTAACCAGCTCACTCCTTCCTCGCGCGCGTCAATCCTTCACATAGGATAAAACATCAACAAAACACCACCCAGCCCGCACGTATATCGCCCGATTTACATGCTTTGATAATGCTATAAGGAAGGAAACTACTGCTTTGACCAAGAGGTGCAGTAGAAGCCGCTTGTGGATATAGCCATACGGGACCTGACCAACTCATGAATGCCGCTACCCATAGATAGCCGAGGAGCCTGCTCATGGGCCACGGGGGTTCATCCTGTTGTTTCTCATCGTTGGTCCTCTTACCCATCAATTTCCACAAAAGTAGCGGTGCAGTGTCCTCAAGCACTACACCCAGCGCTTGCGTGAGAAAAAAATGCAACACATCAAGCTGCTTTGGAGACCTCCTCTTCGTCCTGGGCGATTGTTCGTAGGAAAGGTGTGTGATGCGTGCGTCCTCCATGCTCCGTACTAATCCTAGTGTTCCAACAACTATCCAACATACTGTAGCATCGAAGTCCTAAGTTTTGTCTACTATTGTTATAGCGGCACGGTGGGGAGAAATCGATACCACCCAATTCCCAAACAGATAATAGCATAATAAAGTTTGATGAGAAAATGCACTAAGCCATTAATTGACTACCAGCACATCTACATACCAAGGATTGCTCTAATAGCAATGTAAAAGGCTATGGTACCAATCGTCATAGCCAGCAAAATCGAGCCCCCTTCAGTCGTAGTAGTATAATACATCAAGAATCCAACGAACAGCTCCGCCTTTCTCGCGCGATTTCTTTGCGCCCGCCAGTCAGGATTAATAGTAAAAGGAGGCTTGCTTCTCGGATCATCCTGATCTTCATCGGGCGGACTTGGGATTGGTATTATCGGAACTGTTACTTCAAGTGACACGGGGCGATGATCTGACGTTGGTAGTAATGGAAGTGCGGTATATTTGCGGGGTACGATTTTTGCGTTGGGGTGGGAGGTAGACATCCATTTAGGCATATCCAAGAATAATACGCGGTCACACCAGGATGGCCACCTATGCTTTGCCCAGTTCCACCTTGACAAGTTTTCATCTGATGTTAGAAATGGTTCCTTGAGCTGATATTTATAGGTTGGGGGAAAGTTAACAGGGGCTTCTGTGAGACCTTGGCATGTTCTGCCAGCTAGTCGCTCTTGGTTCAATTGATCTAATTCGAAAAGTTTGTAGTAATGATTCGGGGAGGATGAATCCATAGACGGTTGTGGAAAGGTGTTTATGTGATCGGATGGAGCAGGGGGTAGACTCGAGGTACGGTAGTTCAGATCGCCTGCAACAAAAAGGTGAGAGGTAGGCTTGTAGACAGAGGCATCCCTTGGGGAGATGGAGAGCAGCGAAGCTCCTTCCGGCGACAGTTCTGTTCTTGACTTTGTGCCATCCGCCAGTGCAGATGAAAATACAAGTCCTCGAACAATACTCTTCCAGTCTTCATTCCTCCGCTCCCAACAATCCTCCATAGCCGCAAGGTGCGCCGCAACGAACGTAAGCTCTGTCGAACTGCCTCCCTTGTGATATGAAAATCTGACTCCCACTGCTGCTTTATTGCCCATTTCTGCCAACCCCACCCCAACTCCTCCGGTTTCAATATCTCTGATAGCGTCCGGGTCCTTTGCAAACGCCATGATACCCGTCATCCCTAGGTTTCGCGACGATATTGGAGAGTATATCTGATCATTTTCAGTAGAATTCGTGAACTTCTGCGAAGCATTCTGAACAGCGCGATGGAAACGTTTGAAGTATGGAGCCTGAAATGATCCTCCAATTAAGGCATATGGTATGGGTGCGATTTCTTGCAGGGAAAGAATAAGCAAATCAGGGAGACTTGAGGTGGTGAGGCCAGAAAAGAGCTGCGATGCGAAGGCGTCGATGTCTATGGGCGCGAGACCACAGTTATAGGTGAGTATGTAGAGGCTGATTTCAGCTGGAGGAGTAGTGGCCGCCATGATTGGCTTCCGGGTTTGTTGTTGAGGCTGTTGATCGTTGATCATTCAAGGTTGATCGTGAAATGCGGGGAGCATGGGGAGCTCCAAACCTATACGGGTCCCAATACACTGACGCCCCGGCGTCAGTTTAGAGCTGACTAAGCGCGGGTTTTCACCCCCCCTCACCATCCACGAACACTCTACTTATACCTATAATTAATACATGCTTAACAAAATAACATATAATAAATCCTACAATATATATCGCTCCGAGT